TTCTTTTGTTTGTGCTCTGCTTTGTTCTATTTTTTTTTTTTTTTTTGTATTTTTTCCTTCTTATTTTTTGGATTGTTTATAATCGAATCGAATTTGATATTATGAGTAACAAAATTTGCATGATAGAGAACATATTAATTCTGCCATAATCTTTACAATAGTTGAATCGTATGTAATTGATAAAGTTAAAAAAGATTCGTATTTATTTAGAACAATCTAACTTTTCATTGTAATTGCCTAGTATTTTATTTATCAATTCGTGAACTTTATATCTTATCATATTGAATTAGAGTTATAATATAAATAATGAATGAAATTCAATAAAAACAAAGGAATTTGTATTAAATTCAATTGAAATTTTATTTCCAATAGGTTAAAGTTTATTGAATATTTCTAAGTTGCATATCATATTTCATATTTTAATTTGAATAATGGGTTTTGAAAAATAATATTTACAAAGAAATTCTAAATAATTTCATAACTTTCATTTATGATTCTTCTGTTATTATTTTAACATAGTTAGAGATCAAGTTTATAATGTAATAAAGAATAACGTTTTGTTGGTTCGTTATTACGTTCAATCATATTGCGTTTATCTCCTCTTACTCTTGTAATACATTAAACATAATATAAGATAATCTATATAAACTACGGACACATTGTTTCTAATTACTCATAATTTCTCGTGATTACAATTTATTACAATTTATTCTAGGTAAAATATTTTCAATAGAAGATAATCTACACTCAAAATAATCAAAATAATATTCTTAAAAAAAAAGTACAGAAATTTTAACAATAAATATATCACAAAGACACTAATAATATTCGCAACTACTTTATAATATCAATAAATATTCTTTAACCATTCACTAAATTGTTATGACAATTTATCTTTTATTTGAAAACAACTATAGAAAAAAAAAAAATCTATAAAAGAAGAAATACAATAAGTACAAAAATAATCGTCACGGTCTGAAAACGGTTCTTTTGACGAATCCCCGGTATTATCCGCGTCGATTATTGCAATTTGTAGCAATTTCTTCAATCCGCGCGTAATGACCGTTCTTTGAGGTGCACGTTTCGCAATGAGGATTCTTAACAAAAGTCATTCCTATCCAAGTTTTGTAACGAAGCAAAAGGAGAGGGGGATAAGAAAAAACATTTACCTACCTTTCGACGCAGGGCAAGAAGACAGAACATGACTTAACAGGGCCGAATTATTATCTTGAAGAACGTGAGAGGGAGCTTCAAGGGAGGCTGTTCTCGAGTGTCGACATTGTTCTACCTTCTTTAGTTTAATAGCCACTTCCGGTTATCCCCGGAAGAAGCAACCCTCTTCTTAGTGTAGTGGAGGGAAGGCCTTTTCGAAAAAGGAAAGCGATCCGCCTCTCTATATGCTGACACGAAAGGTCTCCGGTTGCCGCGCGACGATAAGCTTTTATCACTCACAAAACACGCAGCACAAATTCGTAGAATGTCTCAATAAAGATTCCCTTGTGTGTCCCTGATGCTCGCGTTGATGTTTGTTTTATCTCGTTTGCTCTCGTGTCTTGGGTATTTCTAACGGGTTAAAAAAGAGAAGAAAGAGGTAACTTTCCTCTTTCCTTTTTCTTTTTTCTTCTTCTCTTCTCGTTCTTGTCTATTTATTCACCGAATTGTTGTTTCTCTTCCCTTTTTTTCTCTCTCTCTCTGTTAAAAATGTTTTCAAGACCGTTATAAAAGAAGCGTGATTCCTTTATGCGAATCATTCAAGTTCGAGAAAAAATTTCTCAAAGTTTTACTCTTTCTCTTTCGAGCGAGATTTATGAACGAAGGGAACACACGACTTCACTCTGGCGGAGGTTGATATAACACTGTCAAAGCAACGGCGCGCGGCAAACGACGAGACAGTTTCACCAGTCAGCTGGCGCTCCCCCACTCTTGATACGTCACTGTGCACTCTATAGGTTTTTCTATTTTCTCGTCCTCTCCTGTGATTTCGATTATTTAGAACGAAAGGTGAAATGATACTCTAGACAATGGAAATATTTTCAGAAACTTTTTTTTCTTTTTGATGATTACTTGATGTATAATAATAATAATATAGCTTTGTGTTACGATCATTGAACGTAGAGTTTATTATATTAAAGAAATAAATGAATATTTGTAATTTTACAAACATCAGAAAAAAAGAAAATAATTGAGACATATGTCGTGCAGTATCGCGTTGAGTTTATATTAAGAATAAAAAAATATACGTTTGCATCATCAATCAAAATCAATATCGTAGGACGGTTTATTCGAAAATATTGTGACTTTGTATCAAATAAAGTATTGTTTTTCTTACAGATATGCCATTGAATTTTTTAAAAATTTTGGATTTTGAATTATTCATCCAAAATGGAAATTTAAAATTAATTATTTTAGATAATTATCTCCAATATTTATTAAAAAGTTATAATCAAAATAATTATCTTCAATAAGTTTTATTTAAATTTTATTTAATTTTTATTTTTACGTATAAAATTATGACTAATTATTTAATCGAAGAAAATACGTTAACTCTCGATTAGGATTAGGAAAAAATCGGTTTTTACCTAATGACCTCGTGAAAGTATGCAAAAGCAATAAAAATGTCGATTAATGGACGCTTATATCTCTTCGATTGATACATTAGATTTTCACCGCACAACTATAGAAATCAGTCGGTTTGATTTATTCACCATGTTAATTCGTTTCATAAATAATGAACAAAAATTATATAAAAATATGAGAATTTTGATTGATATCTTGTATCAATATAATTTGAAATATGCGTTTTACGAATTTAGAATAGAAAAATTACTTTTTTTATACTTTTTTTTTTTGCAAATAATTTTATATATATATTTATATTTTTCAGAAAACACTTAATTAAATTATTTTAATTAGTAACATGTTTCAACTTGATTTGATCAATATTGCGTGTAGACATAATCTTTTATTTTTAGTATAATTAGTTTTAAATTTTTGTGTTTTTTTGAAAGAGATCAGGATTTAATATAGAGAATTTAATAGTAAAAATTATGACAGAATTGAATTCATTTTATTTATCTTTTTTTTTTTTCATTATTTTATAATAATTAGTCAATACATCGAGAATATTCAATAAAAAATTATAATCATTTTTTATAAATAAATAAAAATTTATAATAAAATTTTCAAAAATTCGTGATATTTGTGATTTTAATTGTTACGACAATATGTTTTCATTACGCAAATTCATTGTGCACGTGAAAACATTTCGTAATTCATGATTCATCGTTTTTCAATCGATAAATATTTTTCTACAATTGCTCGAAGAAAAAAGGGAAAAAACGGAGTGATTCATTAACCGACTTTGCACCTTGTTATATTGCTCTTATTTGTTTCAATATCTGTATTCTGTATTAACTTGTATATGTCTTCCATAATGTGTAATATTCGTGAAAGTTAGTACACAGAAATGATACAGTGAAATTTAACACGCACTTTCACAAGTTGTACATCGCAATATAATATTGTAATACTTTCACAAGTAATTCCTCCATTATTAAATTAAAAGAGGTTAGGATTTGATTAATTTCATTTTCTAAATAGAAATGATTTTAATAGAAGTCTTGAGGCTTGAGAACACTTTACTCTAATAAGGATGAAAGATATTGAAATTTGAAATAATTATTCAATTACTTTAGAAGATTAAATAAATCATTTTTTATTTAAGTAAAATTGTAAATAAGGATTTCATCACAATTTCTTATAATTATGTAAAGAGACCTATTTTTATGATGTAATTAATAATTTTGACAAAGATTATTTCAAGAAATTCTTACAAAATATCAAATAAAGAAATTGTTTTAATAATATACTGTTACATAATTATTTGAAAATAAATAATAATTAAGCAATAAGTAAATTATGATATATTATTTAAATGCTTATTGTTCGAATATTTTATTTAAATATCGATTGAATCAACATGTGTTTTATAAAAATAGTATGTAAGATAACTTGTCCAAGCATAATGCTCTTTTTAATTACGCGTGTATGTATTACAAATACAATGACTCTATGAATTTAATTAAGATTTAATGAAACATGTGCATGTCTCGCGTGATTTTCTTGAAAACAAAGGCTAGTACAGCAATATTCTACTAATAAGTGATAAATTAGATTTCTTTTAGAATATTATTTTTAACTAGATTATATCGCGCGAAATAAATTTTCATAAATAGGAAATGAATTTTTTACGAATTAAAAAATCGTAGAGCTATCATATTTTGAATGAATTTTCTAAAAAAAAAATTATTTATTAATTAATTATTAATTATTTATAAATTAATTATTTTCCTTTTATTATTTTAAAAATAATTTGCATTTTCTTTGTCTTTTACGACACTTTACTCTAAGTGGATACTAGACTGTACATATTTATGGAAATTAATATTTTCATAAACATGGGTGAAAAAAACTCGATAAACATTTATCTTAATTTCTTAAATATTATAAATATATTTTAAAAAACGTAGAAATTTCATTCTTTATCTTTAAATTAAAAAAAAATATCCAAATTCAATTCTTTATCTTATCGTATCATTAATTTTCTGTGGAATTATAAAAATTATATTTAACAAAGAAGTGAGATTATTTGCATGATATCGACGAAAAATCATAAATATGCAAAATAAAATTTGCAGTATTAATATGAAACTTTATAATATCGATTACAATCATGTCTGTCTATCCATATCACCTATGAGAAGAAACTTAGTAAAGAAAGTCATGCACGAACGGATCTATAAATATTAATATACCTGTATCATATTCACTCGAATTGAAACTCGTTACGAAGTTGAATTCGTTGGGTAATCATCGGTAATAACGCACCACGATACAGAAGCAACGAACGTAAAAAGCTATGCAGGTAACGCGAGATGCGAAATTACACGATGCCATGGCAAAGATTAACTCTTTTTAGCCTTCAAAAGCAACCATGTGCGTGAATATCGCGGGGTAACGCATCGATAAGCAGTCATCTTCCAGCTTAGTCGAGGATGCGATGATATGAATCGTAATAAACGCGAAAAAAATCTAAGAAAATATGAAATTTTTATATTTATTTTTTTTTTTTTTTGTATAAATATTTCATATTATATAGTAGTTTCATAAAATTTAAAGAATTAAAAAATTATTTAATTATGAATAATTATGGAATAAAAAGAAAACTTTAGTATTTTTAATTTTAGTTAATAATTGAAAAAATTTAAAGAATTAAAATAAGAAAAAATAATATAATTTTAAATAATTATAAAATAAAAGAAGAATATCTTCAATATCTTTTTAAAAATTTTAGGTAAATAAAATACATATTAGAATTTATTTTAGCATTTTAATATAAAAACATTGATAAATATGACCGATTGATTGGCAAATAAATACAAATAATTAAACATAAATATAAACACTTTGAAATAATGAAAACATGTTATAATTGTAATTATATATTTGTAATTAAATCTAAACAATTTCTTCATTAAATTAAATATGAAAGAATATGAAAATGATATTATTTTAAAAAATTAAATGAAAATTTAATTCTAACGAATCACAACAATAAGGAAGAATTTCAGCATTTTATTACGATAATTTTCATTAAATGAACGTAATAAATATTATTAATAATGAATTAAGAAATTTTATCAATAAATAATGAAGGAATTAAACGTGATATTAAATTGTTCATAATGATATGCTAGTAATAATTCCATAATTCATTTATTAATTCAAAGATAAAATAAAAAGAAGAATTTCTTT